CGTATCTGAGTGATTCTTTTGGCACGACATCACAAATTTCATCATCTACAATTTTTATTCATGGTTCTCATTGAAATTATGCACTGAAAATGATGACCTTGTGGGTTTTCTCGGACTGCACACAAAAATAAGCTGAAAAGAATATGCACAGAGAATTTTCTACAAGTTTCTCGCCATTGCAAAGTTCATAACTCACTCAATTTTTATTATATCGGGGTGATTCTTTTGGCACAACGTCACAAATTTCGTCATCAATGATTTTGTTTCACGTTTCGCATCAGGATTATGCACTGAAGGTCATGAGATTATGGTTCGGTCTCGAGCTGTACATGAAATAAGTCGAAAATTCTGCATTTTTTCAAAAATTCACTTGCCAAAGAAGACTTATGGGCTTGCCTATATATTCTTGAAATTCAAATAATAATCACTTTTGGCATTCTCTATTGAAAAATCACACAAGAATTTTAATTCTCTCTTAATTTCTCTCAAGGTTTTGTTCAAGAACACAAAAAAATTTCACAAGATCTTCATCTTCCTCCCTCTCTCACTCAAGGATCTCTCTCTCTCTCTCTCTCTCTCTCTCTCTCTCTCTCTCTCTCTCTCTCTCTCTCTCTCTCTCTCTCTCTCTCTCTCTCTCTCTCCTTGCTTCGATATTGCTTTGCTATAGACATTATTGTTTGTTTTATTTTGTTTTTTGATTCTGTTTATATTTCGCATTGTATTTTCAATTCCTTGCTATGAGAAGTAGGAACAGAGATGTATAACTGGGAGTCTCTCATTTAGGTGGGAAAATCTGTTTAAAGTCCTCAAAAGAGGTGATGTTTGTGTTTGTTCAAAGACCTCAAAATGAGGCAATGTTTGTGTTTGTTTAAAGACCTCAAAAGAGACAATTTTGTTAAAGTCCTCAAAGAAGGCAATTCCCCTCCCAGTTTATTTTGTATTTGCTATCGAGTTAATAAGTGGAGCAAAGGGCTCGCAATCGACCCCTACAATTTCTAGTATGTGCCGTTCTTAGCTCACGTTATACGTTGATGCTTTGAATCGTACTTATTCTTGTTCATTGAGTCAAATAAAGTGGAAAATGATTCATAACCGACCCCCACACCTTGTCATTCGTTTCGACGATGTTAGCTCGCGTTTCTTTAAACATTGATGCTTCAAGTTATTACTCGATATCGATGTTTAATCAAGTCAAGTGTAAAGAGTGCTTTACTCCCACTTTGAAATCCATTGGATTCATTGTTTGTTACTAGCTCACAGTTGATTCTTGTTTTAGTTTTGGTTCGACTTTGTTTGATTGTGCTTGTGTTTTTTCTTTTCTTTAGACCTTTGTATGTTCCCTTAGGACAACTTGTCTCATTTTTTATTCAAGTTAGATATTAGGTTCGTAATCCGTGCATGTTAACTTAGGTAGAGATTTCCCTTTCATCCTTAACTTTAGGATCATCATTGTATGATAACACTAGGGATAGAACTAGGTTAATCTCCTTTAGACTTTTTCTCGTCCCCTTTTGTATAACTAAAACTAAAACTCTTTCTTTGACAAATTCATAAAACACTCTAACATTACTCAAATACTTTTTCAAGGTAAAAAACACCAATCAATGCAAACTTTTTTGTCTTCTGACTTTTTCTTTTAAAACCTTTTCAAAAAGGACGTGCTTTGATAACATCGTTCATAAAAAACATGCAACCAACCAAAAAATTTTAGGTGAACTACGAGTGTCTTGATCTCTCATTGCACGGAGAGGGTACGTAGGCACAAAGGTTTGTAACCAAGGCAGGCACGACTAATAAAACTTTTTTCTTTGTATATATACTATGCATTCATGCATTTAGCTCGTAAGCTTTAGATATGAACACACAAACAAAGTACACATAATCACTCATTGTTTGGGTGTCATCTAGACTTGTGTTGATAACGTTCAATTTAGGTTGGTGTAACCTAAGATTGGGTTGAGAGTATTTGTGGGTTTCATCGGAAAAACTGTGAGGGTTTTCCTCCAAGATCATAGTGTTGATTTGGAGGTTTTGACAATGTTTCGCAATTCTGATTTGATAGAGTGAATAGCTTTGAAGAACGAGAGTTTCTTGCAAAGGTGTAGCGTGAGACGGTGAGCCAATTTTGGATTCGGTCGAGTTAAGGCTTTGAAGATCGGTGGTTTTTGCAAAGGAATAGTGCCAGACAGTGAATCAAATTGGTATTGTTGGGTGATTTGATCAAACTCCGATCAAGGGAAGTGAGAGTGCTAGGATCATCATCAAACATAGGGTTTGTATGGTCGGATTGCTACATTTCTCTTGTAAACAATTTTTTGCATAGTAAGAATTCTTATCTCAATTCCAAACAGAATTAGAGGAGGATGTAGCCATAGCGAGGACGATTGGTGAACTGCCTAAATAAATCCTTGTGTTCTCTCTCTCTCTCTCTCTCTCTCTCTCTCTCTCTCTCTCTCTCTCTCTCTCTCTCTCTCTCTCTCTCTCTCTCTCTCTCTCTCTCTCACGCGCACACACACACACACACACACACACACACACATACTTTGTATAGAAAATTATTCAATTCATTGATTATGTAATCGATTCATAGAGACATATCCTTTGATTGTTAAACATTGTTTTGTTGATTACATTACAATCAATTAGATTGTAAGTGGTATTTCATATAAACAACGTCAAAGGAAAAATCTAAAAAATCAATTGTACGTCAAGTGTTCGATAATTTGCTTGTTTAGCTTTATCAATAATTTAATTGGAAATAGGTTTACAATTGTGTTCGTTAAAAAACAATTGATTGAGAAATTATTGTATTAAAGGCTTATCATAATTTTTTATTTCATTATGTGGTTTACGCATATCCGAGTTTCCAATAGTCGGGTTCGGTTTAGACGACTTGTTTGATCTAGGCTTAATCTTTTCTTTGCCATAATTTTTGATTTACTTTCATAACAGAATTTTAAATAATAATTTTTGTTTGGGGATCTATTCATACCCTCTAAATAAGTTGTCATCGTTTAACACCGTAATTATTAGACACTAAGTATTTTCATGTTTAAATGTAATACCTATAAAATTCATTTTTTTTGACACTATTTTCTCAAATTTTTAAATTGCATATATATATATTCTATTTTAGATGCTCATTGTTAATTACATCATTTTTCACTAAAAAATACACTCTCCATTTTAAAATATAAGAAAAAATATATTTTTTTATTACTCAAAATATAAGAGAGAGAAAAGTTTAAATTTTTATTTTTTTTAAAGTAAAATTAAATGTATATTGCATTTAACTTATCCTCTTTTTCATCTTTTTTATAACCAACAAATAATTAAAATTGTTTTTATATATTTCTAAAAAGTCAAATAATTATATTTTTATTTTTTTCTTAATAAACTTTTTTATTTTATTTTTTCTCTTATATCCATGAAAAGATAGACATTAAAATAAAAACACTATTTCCTAAGAAAAATTAATATTATCACTAACAGTGTGTTTGTTTGAAGTGAATTAAAGACGAGAGAAATGCAAGCGAGAGAACAAAGTGAGAAATGCACTTTCTTCTATTTGGTTTATCAAAAAAATACAGAAGAGAGATAAATTATGGTGGGCCATATACTTTTTGCTTTCTACGCATACATGAGAAGAAATGGATCTGTAGCAATTTATTCATTTATTTTTTCACATATACCCTTTATTTTATTGGTGTTCATCAATGCAATGCAGGCACTTAGTTTCAATTTATTGCATAGTAATGCATAGTAGTAATACTTATTCTCTTGAATGCATATCGATAATCAATAGTAAAAAAAGAAATTTATTCTCTTGAATGCATATCGATAATCGATAATAAAAAATTCAATTATAAATTTAATTAATTTATAAAATAAATTTGATTAGAGTATATTAATAATTAAAGAGGTAGCCTCGATTCAAGAATAAGGTTGTTCCATTACGATCTTATCATATATGATTTACTCTATAACTAACAAAAAATAATAATTTTTAAAAAATATTTTTGAAAGTACATAAATTTAACTAACAAAAAATAATAATTTTTAAAAAATATTTTTGAAAGTACATAAATATAACTAACAAAAAATAATAATTTTTAAAAATATTTATTGATTTTTAATTAAATTAAAAACGAAATATTTAAATTGACTTTGCTAGAAAATAATCGATACATATTTAAAAGAGTGGTTAGAAAATGTATTTAAAATAATTGAAAAACTTGTATTTATTTTTTAATTTAAGGGTATTTAGGTACTTTCAAAAATAATTATACTTCTACCTCTTCTATTTCTCTTATATTTCTCTTATAACAAATAATCTATCAAATCTACTATATTTCTCACATTTTTCTCTCTTCTTACACTCTCTTATCTATTTCTCTCTTCATAGCTTCTCTTCTAAACCAAACATACCCCTAAAGTTTTTTAAATTCCCATAGTATGCCCTATATTTAAAGATGATTATATTTAAATATTTCTAATTTTTCATTCAACACATCAATTTTTTCTTCATCTCTTTCTTTCTACCACATCGACAAGATATCATGTCTATCAAACTACTCTATTTCTTTATTTATAATATGTAAACAAAGTGTTTAGGCGTTCAAAAATAATTTGTCTATATTTAAAAACATAGGTAGTAGTATGTTTGAAAGAACATTCACAACTAAAATGAATATATATTCTTATCTATGCTGATGAAGCATTGTTACAGGTGGTCTATGATATGCCATATCCTGATGTTCCGATCACACATTGTCACCTAATTCTCCATTTCACATAAGAGTAGATGCAACTATTCCACAGCATCAGAGTTTAATCTTCTATGCATAGCAGCACTAGCTTTAAGTGATAAATGCATATTTAAATAGACCTAACACACACAATACCATTCTAGTATAATTCAGGCCATGTACTACATTCATCATCAACACCAATTAAATATGATAGTTAGAAATAAAACTGGACAGAGATAGAAATCAATATTATTGTGAACTTGAGTTAAGAATTTCCCTAATCTCATCATCAAGCTCTATATTATCAACTGCCATACTCTCTAAAATCTTATCGACCTCTTTCCCACATCTAACATACATCTTGATCAATAACAGATACATATCCCTATCCATTGAAGTCACAGTCTTCAGTGAATTCACAAAATCTTCTACTTCATCTATATCTCTGTTACTGGTAGCCCAACTCAATATGCTGGAAATGACATCCCTTTTTGGTCTCCAACCTTTATTATTGGGTTGTACAGCCACAGCTTCTTTCATGTATTGAAACGCCTTCTCCATGTTCCCCTTGTCAACATATCCAGCAGCTATGATAGACCAACTGTTAGGAATAGGATTCTTTCCTTTCCCAACCATGCTTTGCAGCATTGTTTCCGCTTTTTCAATCAACCCGTTCTTGGAATAACCAATCAAGAGGATGTTTGGAACCCTGAAATCATAAAAATTACCAGATAACTCCCACTCTACAAGTAACTTTTCAGTTTCATCAAGGTCACCCAGCTTCACCAAAGAACCCAGCATGGTTATATATTCCCTGTTAAGTTGCTTTTTACAATTCTCTTTCTGAAGTTTCCATAATCTCATCATTGCCTTTTTGTTTCCAAGACTTGCATAGTGTGAAATCAGATAATTGTATGCAATTGTGTCGCGTTTGTCTGCTTTGTCCTCACATTTTTTCAAGTAAATCAAAGCTTTCTCTTTCAGGTCAGCTTTGATGTAATAGTTAGCCACCATAGAGTATGTGATCCAATGCGATCCAACGTGGCTTTGCTGTTCCATTTCTTCCAAGAGTTTCTCCATACTCATAAGATCTGATCGAGCACCGTAAGAGTTTATGCCAAGCCTATAGCTGAAAGTGTCGGGAGAAACACCGTCCTTTCTCATCAATGCCAAAACACCAGGGACTTTCTCATATTGCTCACTTTGCAAGAGAAGACACATAATATTGTTGTAATTGAGAACAGAAACAAAACCCATATCCTTTATTTTCTGCATCAGAGAGAGTGACTTATCAACCAGTCCTTCTCTTACATAACAATTCAAAAGGGCACCATAAGCCTTTTCAGTTTTATCTTCATCATTTAAATTCTGAAAATAGCTTTCCGCACTACCCAGTCCACGAACTTTGCCAATAAGATTTAGTTGCACAGCATGGTCAGTTGCTAAAATTGGGCATAGCCCTTTGCTACTCATCCATTCAGAAACCTGAACTTATCAACATTAAAGATATCTCAGTGATTACCTCATAACCTGGACAAATCAAACGATTTTAAGAAAGACACTTAAGATAGGATTTCAACTGAGTTATACAGGGCATATTTGGTTCAACGGAGGGGAGGAATTTTAATTGAACAGACAGAATTGGAGGGCAGGCCGGGGAGGGAATTTAAAATGTATTGTGTGATTTGACAAGGAGAGACTTTAATGAAGGATAAGTGTAATATTACATTGTTAACCCTTGTTACCTTGAAATATTTAAGATCACATTAAGACTATGTTTGGATACATAAAAAAGACCGGAGTGGAATGGAGCGGAGCGGGATGGAACGGAGTGGAGTGGAATAAAAATACCATTCCATTGTTTGGGTAGGTCATGATGGAATATAGTCATTTGTCATTCTGCCCAAATTAGAGGGTACAACAAATGATAGAATGGGATGGAATGCCTTCCATCCGATACTGCTCCATTCCATCCTTTTTTAATCAATCCAAATGATAGAACATAACTTTATCCCATTCCATTCCGCTCTATTCTATCCTATTCCATCAATCCAAACATACCCTAAAAAAAGGGACATTTAGGCCTAAATCTAAAACAAATATTCTCTCCAACTCAAACCCTCTGCTTTTGGAGGTAAGCTAAAATTGGCTCACTAAAGATTTTGCTCCCCTATCTTTTCCTCTCACCTCTCTGAAAAGTTGAAAAAAACGAAAATTTAAAATAATCACGTCATTTCCTTCCCTCCCATCTCATCCATTCCCCTCAAAACCAAACAAACCCTCAAGTAAAGACCTATTTTATTTTATTTAGTCAAGACCAATTTTGCTTGTTAAAGAAAAAAACGCGGTGTCTAGTTTAGTTCCTAAAACCAAAAAAAAGAAAAAGTAAAGTCCCTTAACTAGGGACACATTATAGCATACATGTTAATCATAATCTATTCTAGAGAGCTTATGGAAATAAGCTGAAAATAGGTTATGAATATGTCATAAGCTGTTTTCATATGTTGTTCCAAACATTTCAGAAGTGTTAATGTCAGTAGATAAGCTCAAATAAATGAATCTAAATAGACTCAACTAAAGAATATATAATGTGACTTGGACCAAGTAAACAACTCTGTTTTGTATAAAAATTGAACGATAAATGAACTAGTTAAAAAAAAACCTAATTATGAAGATAAGAATGAGAGACCTGGAGTGCTTGATTGAAGCGTTTGCTAGAGCGGAGGGTTTTGATGATGCGATGAAGCTGTTGGTAATCGAGAGAGTTACCTTCTTGGAGCCAGTTTTCGAGAATGGGGGAAATGCTGATGGAAGGGTCACCAAGTGGGCTTATTCTGGAGAATAGGTTTTTACGGTTTGTGACTGTGGAACAGTAGGATCTACAGAGTAGAAAAGTTGAGGTGAAGTTACCAGACTTTTTAAGGATAGCTGAAAACGGTGCCGACGCCATTGTCAAGTGCAAACTGAGTGTGCTTGCAAAGTGTTTGTTAAAAGAAAAATGCTATTCATACACACCTACACCGTATAACCGTATTTATATAATAATATATTTTAATACGGTGAACACTGAAATAATAATAGGTTTTTATTTAATTTTTTAAATTGTTGTTTGAAATACAAGGAAAAAAATTATCTTTATTGTTAGATTTGATCTGAGTGAGATGTCACATTTCAGGAAGACGGTTTTAAGCGTTTGTACTATATAGAGTCTAATGCACGCTATTTCAAATATTTCCTTGTTCATATCTATTACTTTTTCATTTATTCATTAATTTGAGCGTTAGAGTGTTAATTTTAAAGTTCTACCTCCGCTTTGTCGTACTAGAAATTCACTCCACCGCGTCGAAAATTTTTTCAACTCGATCTATACTAATTTCTAGTTCTAGTTCGGAACAGTGACACTGTCTGTTAGAACTTGAAGTTCGCACCTTACCCTTTGGCCTTGACTAAGGGCTAAGTGTTTTGAGCTGGAAAAAATAATCTCATGTTTCTTGAGAGTCAAGGCTAAGGTATGTTAGATACATGATTTTATGATTTGGCGTAAATTTTGCTAAAACATGGTTCATAGCTGATGTTGAGCAAGATGCCATGACATCTTGACCAACTGTCATGATAGGTTCTGCTGTCATGAATATTAGACAGATGTTGAGCCATATGTCTTGACATCTTGGCCAACTGTACAGCAGAGTCTGCTGTTAATATTTTTGACAGATGTTCTGACATGTTATACCAGAACATCAGAACATTACAACTATTTAAATCCTTAAAGATTTAATTGTAAAATATGAGATTCTGGATGTTTTTAGTTCTCATACAGGCGCAACTAATCAAGGATATTTTAGGAACGATGCATATTTGATTTGGTTTCATAAAAATGATCTTGGAGACTTTTTAGGAAACTTTGAAGATTTGTTCCTATTTTTATTGAAGATCTTGCAACTGATTTAAAACTAGAAGATTGGATTTAATTGAAGAGTCCAAGCCCATACTGCAAGAGTCTATATATAAGGACTTGTTAAACCTATAAATAGCAAGCATTCACAATAAAAATTGTGGGTGCATATTATAAGGGTTTAGAATTTTGAGAGTACTTTAAGTACTATGTTTGCTTTTGTGTGTCACCCATGTATCTTTTGATATATTAAGGTACACTGATCGTCAACTTGCCCATCACTCATGAGCTTTTAAGCAAAGAGTTGATCGTGTGTCAAGTTATTATTCTTAGTTAAAAGCTTTTAAGCAAAGCTAAGTATTGTAATTGGAAGTGTGTTCTTCTGTTTTGGTTATTGTCACTGGGGTGATTGTGGGAAGTGAGAGAGGGATCTCATATCTAGAAGATTTCTAGGTATAAATTGAACAAGGTAGTGATTAGGTGATAAGTTGTAACAATTGATTGTCTCTTTTACTTTCAGCAATTTATTTATGCATAATTATTGTTTTGGTAAAAGTGTTTTTTGTCAGCAGATGATATCATAACATCTGTCCTTACATTGTCTTTTTGTGTTGGGTGACATTTGTTTTTATAGTGCTATAATTTCAATTGGTATCAGAGCAGGCACCCTATTCTGTGTTTAGGTGAGCTCCATGGAAAATATTTCCCGGTACTATGGCTAAGGAAGAAGGATACAATAACATACTAGCTCTGTTAGATGGTGCAAATTATGACTTAAGAAGGATTGTCAAAAGTCATTATGCTTCTTGGGAGGAAGTTCAATCAGTTGTTGAACAAGATGAAGTCAGGACCTAATGTCTAGAACATCCCCTCTGACATCAGAATGACTGTGAAGTTAAAGGAAAAGCAATAACAGAATAAAATCAAGGTGGAAATATTCAGTGTTGTGAGCATAAAGGGGTTAGTCATAACAAGTCAGAATGTCAAATATCTTTGAGGAAACAGAAGAAGGATTTGTGTACTCTCTTTACTTATAATTCTAAAAGTGAGATTGAAGGAAAAACTGCCAAGAAGGTTATAGCCTTAACTGGTAGGTGTGAATCTGATAAATATTCTTGGTATGAGGACCTAACCTATGAAGAATTAGTTGTTGCTTATAAGGAACTTTGTGTAAGAAGTGAAGAAGTGTGTAAGTTAAATGAACCACATAAGAAGGTCATGACTCAACTTCAGGATGAAAAATAAAATTTGTTAGTCATAAACTTTGAGCTTCAAGATAAGGTAATTGTGTTAACCTCTAAACTTGAAAACATGACTAGACGATATGGTGTGTTGGATGAAATTATCCAAATTGGAGAAGAAGGTAGAAGCTTCACTGGTATAGGCTTTAACTATCAACCTCTAAATAATAAAGGAAGATCTTTTGCGACAAAACATGTTTCTGGAAAAGGAAAGGATGAGATAGAAATGTCAGAACAAATGTTCCAACATTCTTCCAGGTTTCAAAAAACTCAGATCAAGGCCAAGATTCATCCTTGGAAATGTCATTATTGTGGAACGTATGATCACATAAAACATTTCTGTTTTAGATTGTATGGTTATCTAAGAGACTCTTCTCAACCTTAAGATAATCATGTAAGGAATATAATCAGAAAGAGATGGAAAGACAAGGATGCTACCACTAGTCTTATAACTTGTTCCTCTACTGAAAACTTGTATGAAGATATCCCTCATCTATTCAGATGTTTAACACTCGAGGAAGTTGAAATCAAAGTAGATAAATAGAACTATGAAACTCTGAATCATATTTTACTTAAAGCAAATAAAAGCAAATGGCCAAAAATGGATTGGGTGCATCATGGGCCAAAAGAGTGTAATGTAAAACATAATGTCTTGACAACATGGTGTAATTCTCCTACACACATGGTCATCAAGAAACAATGGTCAGATACTGTCATAAGATTTTTTAAATTAGACCTTTGTGTAAGAGATATTTTCCTCCAATCAATGATGCACGTTAATTTAGAAACATCATTGCACTTAGTATTAAATTCCTCTCTTCATAATATCTTATATCTTGTTGCCCTCTTCTTTCCTCAATCATTCTCTGTAAAAAAAAACAATTAAATTTTTTTATATTCTTACATTCTTCAATTGTCTCAAGTTGAATCAAATTTCAAGATGACAAGTACATCTGACTCTGACAATGACACTTGGGACCACGTCATTAATGTTGTTCCTCTCGTCACTATTCCCCCTAAATGTTCCTACAAAAATGAGGACCAAGACATCTGCTATAAAGACGGGTGCAACCTCCAAGATAAGTAAATGACATTCTTTTGTGACCATTCCTAAGGAAACTAGTGATGTTAAGAATGCAAAATCCAGTATTGTTGTTAATCCTGAGTCCATTAAAATTCCTAATGTTGAATCAAATGTTGAAATTACTTGGAAGGAGGATACTGCTAAGAAACTAGAAAGTAACCCTAGTATTACTGATATTATCCCTGTTGATTTAAGCATTTTTAGGATAGTATCAAGTGTTTTGGGTATTAACTCTAATGTTGTGTCGGATGTTACAACATCCCTGACACAAACATATCATTCCACTCAAGAACATGTCAAAGAAGCTGACCCCATTGGTGTTCTGAACATCCTAAAGAAGGAAGAGTTATGGAAGACAATGAAGGTAATGTGTTTATGGAAAGAGAAGACATTAATTCAAACAAAGAAGAGGAAAACACTACTATGAACAAGGATTAAAATACCGATGTCGTTGTTATTGATGATTTGGATACTGACGATAAGCCAATAGTTAGGAAATTGACTCCTGGAATAGAAAAAAGGTTGAAAAGTAGAAAAGGAAAAGTTGTTAAACCCTCAAGCAATCTCAAAAGGCTCCCAAAAGGAGTTTTGTTGCTGCTTCTGGTAGGAAGTGGAGTAAATTAGAAACTCTTGTTGTCTAGAAAAAGTCCTTGAAAAATAAAGAAAGCATCTAGTGATTCCTATTATGAGGAAGATGTTGAACCAATTGTTCAAGACATCATTCCATCTGCCAGAAAGATAATAGTTGGGAAAAAGGTCCCTTCCAATATTCCATAAGTGGCAATTGACAACATCTCATTTCACTTTATTGAAAATGTGGAGAAGTGGAAATTTGTAAGCTAACAAAGGTTGGACTTAGAAAGAGATTTGGGAAAGGATGTTCTTGAATTCAAGGAAGTTATCTGTCTCATTGAGGAAGCAGGTCTAATAAAGACTGTTGCTGGAATGGGTGAATTTTATGAAACACTTATGAAGGAATTCATAGTGAACATTCCTGGTGAGTGTGACAATAAAAGAAGCAAGGGTTACATAATGGTGTTTGTTAGAGGAAAATGTATGGAGTTCTCACCTAAAGTAATTAACAAATATATGGAGAGATGTGAAGATGAGCAGGCTGAAATAGAGGTAACTAATAGCACTATTTGCAAAGAGATCACTGCAAAACAAGTGTCTCAATGGCCAAGAAAAGGGAAGCTTTTTGCAAGTAATCTTAGAGTAAAGTATGTTGCTGAAATTCTGTTATGACAAAACTCAGATGTCCTATGACATGTTGATACATCTGATCCGACATAAACAAAACAGGAAACGTAGAAACATTAAAAACGCTATTAAAAAGCATAAACAACACACCAGAATTGTTAACTTAGTTAAGAGAAACTCTCATACTCTGGGGGCATACCAAGTCAAGGACAAATCCACTATGATAGTATCAATTCATAGACCCTACAACAAACCTCCAATTTACATCCTAATAACTTAATCACTATATGTGCTATATTTCTATCTAAGACTCACCTAGATATGAGGCCCTTCTCAGTCCCTCTTCAATCATAGACAGCGATTAGACACAAAATAGGAAGACACATTTCCATGACAACAAAGCAGAACACACTTCCATGACAATACTCAGCCAAGACTCTTGACTAATAACACAACTTGGAGTTGCTTACAAGCTTCCTCCAAGAACAATACTCAACTCATTACTTCAGAGCTTCTGAGTGAGAACACAATGA